GCTTTGGCTAATCCCTAGCATAACTAAAGAATTAAGCTACCAACGTCATTTTTCATGTACATATGGTCGAATTATGATGATCCTTTGTATAGCGCTTCATAGAGTGTATTTGTGCCAGTAAATATGTTTATACAGGATTGCCTCATGATCATGGTAAAGAGCAGCATACAGCTTGTTCCTTCATTCATTCAGTCAAACATACATAAGGTATATAAGAACCTTATTGCATGAGATACATTTCCAAAACCCTGGATATTCCAATGAACTGGTACAAAACAGCACAACAAATAGTGAAAAAGTGCATGCAATCACCGGCTGACCCAGAGATTTAACACGTCATATCAATCAACACTGTTCATCGTAATTATCTTCTTGATTCTTACAAAATAGCTGAAAATATGGATGCTAATCCCTTCGACTTTCAGTAGTCCAACACGAAGCCCGCGATGTTTATGTTTGTGATCAGCATGTGTTTAACACGCGTCCAGAGCAAATAACGACAATGCAGCATTTTCACCAGATTTATGCGGCATAATTGCACCGTGCTCTTGCATTTATTCTGGCACAGTCCATATAAAATTTGAGCACTTGTAGTGTTTGATTCGTCGCGCGCTCCATAAGGGGGCAGAGCAACACCCTTCTCGTCATAGGCGACGTTTCAGGTACTCGTCGTCATTCTCAAAACAGCCAAATCATGATTACGTTACCCCCCATCATTCTTGGTAATAGACGATCGTTAAAACGATCCGTTGAACGAAGCCATATTTTTGCCATCCGTTGACATGGCACATACTGCGGCATCAGACATCAAAATGCATACGTTACAAGAACCGTTGATTGTTAGACGTATTTGTGGCTAGAGTGTAGGATCGAGGGAAAAGAACAACCGTTCTTTCGGGGCTTTCCAGAAATTGTTTGCTACCCACTGGCACCGCTGTATCTTAAACGGACTTCAGGTTCTGCTTTTCTTTCAACTACTGATCAAGTCGTTTCAGGTTCGTACTTTACAAATTACCAGACATCAACGATCATCCGAATCCACTGGTGCAGAACGGAACGGCGTTTCTTTATTTGGATGCAAGCATGACCGAATGGACTAATACACAGAAAAGTGTATCTTCGCCGGACAACAACTTGGCCCTAACGTTACAACAGTATTATTCAAACAGAGAAAACAAAACAGTGTTGTATTTGTTATACAATGATCAATTTAACGAAACGTCTAACAAATTTGGGCATACTAAAGGTACGCTGTTTACGTAACTGTGTTTATTCGTATACAGTAGCACTATCATAACTATCACAGACCGAGATGTATTGAAACAGCAAAATATGTACTGCAAGAAAGCCTTATTTTAAAGTTAGAATAATATGATATATTTGAGACCATAAACATTTTCTGAAATTCATTCTGTGTCGGTGCGACATGGTCGGCACAGTAAACTGGTCTGATTCCGTGATCAACAGTCGGCGCGTTTCCAAACATTTAAACCTGTTGACACAGTCACTGACTGTGGCAAATGCGAATACCTGGAAGTGGCACAGTAAACAGTAGTGGCGTGGCCCGGCTTTCATCACTGATTTCAATCTTTCATCTTGCTTCCTCAACTTCTCTAAATTTGTGGGGTTAACGAAGGCTGGTGAATAGAAACTCGGAGGAAGAAAGAAAATTGGAGGAGTAATGAGCGAACAGATAAGTGTCTGACCTCTTTTGCCGTCAAACAAAAAAGTAGCTTCGTTGCAAGTTATAACGTTTGAAGCATTATCATGTTTCATGCATTATTAGAACTTTATGGCTGTACGAGCTTATTAAATTACGACGCATGGATAGAAGGTGTTATATTCAATTAAACTGAATGACTTACCTTTGAAACATCAGTATATTACAGAGATTTTAACGCTACCAATAACAACAGACGAGGTAGCACTGTTAACTAATTAGAATGAATGCTTCTTATTTAATTTTGGAATTCATGTATTAATTTAGCCCCTTGGGTATCGGCATATAAAATATGTTCTATTTACAGATTTCTGCGATATTCTTCACGCGTAACGAGTCATTTTTGTCGTTCTTGCGTGAAATCGGGTTCTTATCCACTACGAGATCGTTACTTAAGCATGAACATGACAAGCATATGCATTATAACGTTATCCTTTCAAATTTTGTATGTTTGAATGCATAAAACTAAATCTTTAATGAATTCAAGGGCTGTTGCCCATTGCAGACTTAAGGTCTTTTCTAATTCCAGCTTTGATTTTCAGGATTGCTATTGTTCGATGAGAACACCGGATTTTGGATCGTTCACAGCGTACCGCATTTTCCAAATCCCATAAAATATGAATGGCCTTCGACGGCCACAACTTACGGTCAGAGTGTTCTGTGCATCACTTTCGGCATCGATAGTCTAGAAGGCATAAGTAGGTTTAAAAGTTTGGCTCATAGAGTTGTTCTTCGTGATCGCTGATTTCAGCCAAACAACTGTTCTTCAATCGGCCAGGTATTTTCAGCTCAAACGTACCGGCAAAATTTGTTAGGAAATTTTCTTTCCTGCCAATGATTCTTGTCGGAGAATTTCCTAAAGCTGCACCTTATAGCAGCACCGTTTATCTGAAGTCCTTGGCTGGAAAAGAGTTCGTCAGTTTTGCGAAATCGAAGCGATGGCATAACGGTTAGTTCATACGATAGGCATAAAGCAAATAAATGAGTAAATTAAAAGCAAATGAATAAAAAATAAAGTATAAGAAAGTAAATATTTTGAAAATCATAAATGAAACTTCCAAATCATACGTGTATATTTTGAAATTTTTTTGCATTATTCCCCAAAAATGCGTTTTATAAACAGCAACCT